TACTTGTCGATGACTGGTTTCTTTCAGCTTCAGAGGTACGTTGTACCAATCGTTGTTTTTCAGACACATTCTGTCGACACCACTGTCTTCTTTCACGTGTGCCAATCATTGTTCTTCAGTCATATTCTGTAGACGTCGCCGCTTTCTTTCCGCTGCAGAGGTACGTAGTGGCAATCGCTGTTCTTCAGTCATATTCTGTCGACGACGCCGGCTTCTTTCGGCTTCAGAGTTACGCTGTGCCAATCGTTCTTCTTCAGACATATTCTGTAGACGAATTCGCCTTCTTTCGGATGGAGAAACATATGGTGGCAATTCTTGGTCATCAGGCATATTGTATCGACGACGACGCTTTATTTGGGGATTGTCCTCGACAATTAGTCTGACAAGAGTCCTCTTTGCACTGTCGCTGTTTGTGCCCCACTGCCGTGCCGTGCTTAACAACAGAAGCATAGACAGCGATGGGCACTGGAGCCGAGACTGGCTCCTGGCTCTCAGAAACTGTAGTAGTTTTATCCACTGAATTATAATCTTCAACTTCAGAATCCTCAATGACATCACTGATTTTCTGCCATGGCTCCAGCTCCCCTCCTCACATTCCATAAACAGGTCCAGGTCCGTGTCCACCATGCTCCTGTGGTCACTGCCGGTAGTTTGACCCAGAGAAGGCGCCATCGCCTAAAGGGACCTTATGTTTAAATGGTAAACACCGCTGAAGTTTTACTCTTCAGGATGGCCCAGGAAGGTGCCAAAGAGCAATGAGGTACTGTTGGCGTGAACCTGGTAATAACCAAATAGTCCATTTACTTTCTAAACCTCCACACAACTTTCCGTTACCACTTCTGGTTCTTCCAAAGTATTGGGCTTCTCTGGGTCCCGGATAGTTTGAATCAAATCATAAACCTCTAGCGCTTTCTCTTCCATGATCTGGGGCTGCCGGTCAGCTCCCCGCTCAAAGAGGCCCGAGAGCCACAGGACCCTGCTCAGCGTCCAGGAGAGCAGCCCCGACGCCCGCTTCATCCTCACGCTCCGCCATCCCTGGCGACTGTCCCACCCGAGCCGCCGTCTTCCAGCGGCTGGCCTCGCGATTTATCAACTTCCTGGTCTTCAAACGGGCCAAGACCAACCTAAAAGTGTCCAGGGGAGCAGGGAATGGGCCTAAAGTTCTAATTTTAATCTGCTCCTGTTTGATAAAATAATTCACACCACATACAGTTCTATTTGTACTGACTAAAGGAGAGAAGTTGGGGGTAGAAAGAAAGAAAATATTACTTAACAAATAATAGAAGTGAACATGAGCCCTTGTGTGAAAATCTTGGTAAGATGCTCGCTGCTATTGAAAGCTTCACTTACCTCTAGCTCAGTTAACATGATCTATCAAAGCGGTGGGTTTGTGTCAAATCAAAATTTTCCTTCTGGTGTTTCTTTCAATCTTTTCAAATAGTGACCCATTTTTTGTTGTTCTATTTGGTTAATATGTACCCCTTCCAGACGCCCTATTTTATATCAGAAATGAAGGGAGCTGCTCTGCAAGGGTATCCCTCTTGAGAGGTAAATGAAATGGCTCACATATGTCCGATTTATTTAGGTCTTCTTCAGGAATAGCGTTCTGTTGCCCAAGATGATCTGAGGGCACAGTATTACAGATTTGGTATAAACCTGCCCATTCTGGGGAGATAATAACAAAATTCAATCTTTCCAATATATACTGCCTTTTGTGTACCAGACACTGAGTACTGTGGAAGATACAAAAATTTGGCATATGGTTCCTGCAGTCCCCAACGACATTTTCAAATATCTATCACATAGTAGGAAATTACAAGTATCCCAAGCTCTATGAGTTTAGGAGAAGTTACATCCAGTTACAGGAGCTGGAAGGCGGGAATGGGGTCAGTTCAATGACAATGTCATAAAGGGTATGTAAAGATAGGACAGGGCAGGGACTCTTCGAAAGGAAAGGATAGAGAAATTGTATTCCTCAGAGCATGTTTCACTTCTTTAGAGCATAGAGCAGATGGAAAAGAAGTTTTACCATTAGCTATAGTCAAAATATTTTGACTACAAGCATAATAATTAATAATCAAATAGATTACACCTAATATATCAATATTTTACTTCTAAACCAAATCATTCCGTCTAACCACAAGAAATTTATGTACAATGAAAACTTAAAAACAGGAATGGAATTACAAAAATGCCCTAGAAAATAATACATATACACATACCCCATACAGAAAAAAGAAATTTTGTTTCCTAATCACAGTGAGGTGTGGGGAAAATGTTCATTTAAACTCCAGCTTCATCAATGTACAGCTATCACAGAATCCTTTTAGGCCTTCAGTGCAAAAATAATACAGGATGAATCCCTGGCATTTTGTTCTAAAACCCACAAATGAAATGGTAATGTGCCCAGCTGCAGCTCCCTTCCTGAATTTCAGAAGCTCTGGGTGTCGCACACATGCAGCTCTGTATCACTTCACACAAAAGACTGGCAACTAGCCAAGAAGTCTCTGTATGGTATATATTCCCCAAGGTTTAAGAACTGCCACTTAATTACAATTCAGTCATAAAACGACAGGTACTTTTAGGACATTATCCCAATATAAAACAAATTCAATTCAAATTTATTTAATAAAGTTATTCCTCCAAATTGCAATATATAAGGACAGTGAAGTATATAACCTATATTTTTAAAAAGATCTATGATTGTAATTCCATTTCATTAAGATATTCTAAGATAATTCTTAAAATTTCCTCAGATTACTAATTCCTTATAATCTTACCAACAGCAAGAAAGCCCACCACACACAGAGATTTAACTGTACTTGGAAACTTTTCCATAAGCAGTTAATCACGTTGCTAATTAAAAATCAAGATGAATGAATGTTTTAATATCTGGTACATGTAGGTTGACATGACCAACAATAATGAATGTGAGATAGATATCTCAAGAATGATCTTATTTTCTGCTGTTTTACAACCCTACCGAAATGCATACTTCTATCAATTAGGTAGCTACATAATTCTATATGTAAGTTTCCTGAGAAAAAGGGAGGGGAAAATAAAGAAAACACCTTCAACAGCTTGGCTAATACTTAACTTTCGTAGAAAGTTTTACAAGAGCAAATAACAATAAACTGAACACTAGCCTTTCTGTGAAAAGCTTAGGGAGATTTTCATCTTTATTGAAATGTTCATCTACCCTTAGCTTCTCTTTCTCACATGGCTGGACATCTTCCATATAAAGGATCACTTATATATTAGTGATCTGAATGACTGAACTTTAAAATATTATATTCAACAGTCACAATTTAATAATGTTAAGCTTGTCAAAATTTAAGACTTGGGCAGCCAACTGATCTTTTTTTTCTCCTTTTGATGGACACCTTTCTACAATACAACTATCAACTAAAGATGATGTAGAAAGGATTAGCACACAACTTCAGTAGAAAATGTAAATTGAACATATTTGGAGTTTAAATCAAGGGCTATATAGGAAAAACACACACACACAAAAACCTTCCACCCTGACCAGTCCGACCATGGGATCAAACCCGCAATCTAAGCATGTGCTCTGATGGGGAATCCAACCCTGTGTATGGGACAATGTTCCAATCAACTGAGTCACACCAACCAGGATGAGACATGAGTTTTTAAAGTCGTATTCCCAGATCTGCCCCCAAAAGAGCAGCTTGGTTTATAGCCTAATTGCTTAAATAATTCCAGATATTCTGACAAATCATACTGGTTTCCCCTTCTGAAACTTTCATTGCATGATAAGGGGACAGATGATGGAATGCTCCCCATCCTCTCACCCATGATACCTTCCATTATTATTCCCTTGTCTTGTTCAGGTAGAACTTTCCTCTGGTCAACAGTATCATCATTATGAATATCCCCACTATAGGCAACATTCAGCAATTCCCATTCTTCTTCCAATAAAATCAAGAAAGGAAGAAATAGAAGAAAGGGAAGTAGGGAGAATATTTGCAAATAGTTTTCATGAGTTTATCCTTTTTCCCCCTTCATTACTATCCTCCTCAGATCTCACCTGAGGACATACAAGCCATGTAATTCACTGCTATTCTTGAGTTTGTTTTTAGCTGTACTTTTGATAGTACCATTAGGCAGTGGGGCTTTGAAGTATTCTGGATGAGCAATTATTTAATGAATGCATTTTATATTTATTCTCTACTTTGTAAATTATACTATGGAAAAAAAACTTTCAAAGAAAGCCTTTAACTGGCCTTTCCCATTTCAGTGTCAAAAGCCTTTTGAATTAAGTAAACTGATTAAAACAATTGTTCATCATAATTTTCTAGTCAAGGAAATAAATTTGCTTCACACCGAAGTTAAAATTGTAAAATACATGGACTTTCTAAGGATATGGATTGTTAAACATCATTGTAATCTAAATAACCTAGATCTAAGTAGTTCTATTATAAAAAGAGATACTTAACTTTATTGTCATTTATATGAAAATCTCCTCCTAAAGAATTTGATATTTAAAAAAAATAGCTACACATAAAATTTCTGACAATCATCTGCAGAGAAATAAGAGAATGGAGCTATTTTGGAAGAGGGGACATTGTCACAGTAGTTTTTTATACAAAGAAATTAAATTTTTAGGGATTATGTAAGAAAATATTAACTTGCACCATAGAAACATGGGTTTGTACCATATTCTTCAATTTAAAAAAAAAGGAATTGTAATGAACAACAAAGAAATAGATATTTTTCATTTTCCTAAAGATTATTGGGATAGACAAGGAACATAAGGTGGGTAAGAAGAGGGGGCCCGGAAGTTGAAAGGAACAATGCAAAGTTAAAGCTAAGTGAATAGGATAGGCATCCTGATGGCTCCAGGCCCATGAGTGAATCTTAAAAGAACTAAAAGGAGCAACTGGCTTAGAGATTGGTGAGGAAGGGGAGGGAGGAAATAAAAAAAACACTTGCACACTCATAGGAAGAAATATCACTTCCAGGAAAATATTAATACTTACCAGTATGTACTGTAGCTACTACAATCCATACACACTGTGTGCTGAGCTTTATCTTGTTTTTCTGATTTCTTATGGTTGGTTAAGGGTACTTGTGCATCTTCATAATGCTTCTTTGCATGGCCATTCACATACCTTACAAAAGCAAAAGAAAAATTATTTTAATCTAAATATTGCTTTGGAAGTTAAAGTAGGAGATTATGATAAAATTAGATGGTAAACAAACTAGAGTAAGAAAGAATTCTTCCCTATAAGAGCATTCAATCATTTATTAAATTGAATACTTAAAAAATGCTCCTTTTTCTGCAATCAATTTGTGATTTACAGCATATATATACAAAGATGCACCCACTGGTGCATGATTGAGATTGGGGAGGGACTCAGGAGGTTGGCCAGCCAGGGAGGAACCACAGGAGGGCTCCCGGGCATGTCTAGCCTATCTTGTTCAGTCCCGATGGGCTGGACCCCAGCAGCAAGTTAACCGACTGGTCAGAGCGTCTGCTCCCTTGTGGTCAGTGCATGTGATAGCGAGAGACTGAATGGCCTTGGCATATCATTGGCATATTATGTTTTGATGGGTTGAATAGCTGACTGGTTGACCGGACACTTAGCGTATTAGACTTTTATTATATAGTATGTTTAGATAATTAGTGTAAATGTCAGTAATAAAGTAGTAAGTGTATTACTGCCAATATTAAGATTGGCAATGTTTTGGCTAATATGTAAATACATCAATCAAATGTTAACAGTTCTGTATAAAAAATGGCTAATATAAAATTAAGTATTTCCCTCAACTAGTTTTAGATTTTAACTAGGCAATTTGGTCTAAAAAGGAAAATGTCAATATATGTCACCCATTTCTAACAATGAGCACAAAAATTTTTTAGATAACTTAAATGGGATGGTATTATTAAGACCAATAAATATATAACTCAAATTATGAAGACCAATAAATATATAACCCAAACTATATTTTCTAGTTGAAAAAATATTCAATTTTAGACTTCCCTACAGATAAGTGGTCTAAAATTACTAAAATCAGAATCTGTGTCAATCAACACATAATAAAAGGCACTAACCAATCAGCTATGTAAAATGAAAATCCAAATTCAGATTACTCTCACCTGTTTAATCTACTTAATCATATTCCTCTAAAACTATATAAAATGTTTAAATTTAAGATTCCGTGCAAATGGAAAAAGACTACCTGCATAGTCTAGGAAATTTTCAATTTATTTTCTCAAAACCTGCTTAAAAAATTGTTTACTACTTGCTATTAATAACACTAATATCTCCAATTTTTTAGTTTGTCTGGTCTTTTTGTTGGCATATGACCTTCAAGATTTAGGTTGTAGAGCACTATGAGACAACTGGAGAACAGAACTATATAAATTTTATTGCATTATTAATTCTCACCTCTCAAAATCTAGGAGAGGAATCTGTCTCTTCAAGTGCAGAATTTAAGTGCTTGTACATTTCTTCTGTTTTAAAAAAGTGTTATCTGTACAAAGTATTTTCAGGTTCCCCAAATCCTAGAGATTTCAAAACCACAACAGCCAAAATTAAGAAATATGCAGTTAACATTTTCCAAAGGTACTCTTAAGTGTACATGGAAAAACATATTAAATTTCAGGGCTCAAAATGTAAAAAATCAATAGTTAACTGAATAAAGATGCTTTCTTCATGCAATGAGGGTTTTAAAATAACAATGGGGAAGCAGTCCTAATAAATATGATATAGATTTCAGTCTGTGTGACTTAGAATAATTTCCCATCCCCTGCTGCTAAACTTTTAACTCTGAAGCAAATTCAAAGTGGATTTTTTTAAGCTACAAGAACAATAGATATAAATGTGTTACTGCCGGGCTAAAATAACACAAAGGCTGATATTTGAGTTTGTGTCAAAAGAAGAGTTACTTCAGTAACATCATTTTGAAACCAAGAACTGGGAGGAAACTCAGGCTTGAACCAGGATGGGGTGGGGGATGGGGAATTAGGTCCCTGGAAAACAAAAGTATCTTAATATAACAATGAAACATTTGATATATCTTAGAAATTAACTATGAACTCCACAGTGAGAACATTATCAAGGGAATTCCTTTAGCTGTAAATATTTTAGTGTTGCTTTTCTTTTTCTTTTCTTTTTTTTCTTCTTCAGAAGAATGATGTAATACCTGGGATTTGAATCAAAAATCAGTAAATTAGGTGGAGATGGGGTAGGTAATAGGTGAAACACGCTGGGCCATGTGCTGGTGATTGCTGAAACTGGTCACCCTAATAAAAGGTTTAAAAATAACCATGAGGTAAACTTTTATTTAAATACTAGAGGATCGGTGCATGAAATTAGTGCATGGGTAGGGTCCCTAGGCCTGGCCAGCAATCAGGGTGGATCAGGGGTCTTTTGGCTGCCAGCTGGGGCCTCCCTTCCCTTGCTGCCAATTGCTGGCCTGGGCCTTCCTTCTTTCTCTGCTGCCCCCTGGTGGTCAAATATGTCATAGCAAGTGATCGGTCTCCCAGTTGAACTCCCAGGGGACAATTTACATATTAGGCTTTTATATAGAGAGATTTCAAAGTTCCCATATATCATCTTTTCAATCAAATATTACTAAGTTTAGGTTATCTTGATCATCAAATGAATTCTAAGTATCAATATAAAGGGTTTCTCCCCTAGATTTTCCTTAGTTGTACCATTGGGGGGGAAAGAACCCAACTGATTCTATGGGAACAGATAAACTCTACAGAGAATTACACATTATGATTAAGCAATGGTGATAAATAAACCCAAATCAATAAACCATTAACATGAAGCTTAAAGGCAAACTAAAAATGCAAGTAGGGAAGCCAAGCAATAAGTATGTCACCTACCTTCCACAGTGGACACTTGAACAAGTCAAACAGACCCAGGGGCTTTTGTTGGATCGGCACACTAATAAAAAGAAAAATACACAATATACCAATTGTACATGTTAATTTTCAATTTCTCCCCTAATTTGTAACGTCATACCCTATGATTCAGTAGTGAATTCCATGTCAGCATAGGTGTACTGAGCTCACAGATCCCTGCTCTGTGAGAGCACTGACACAAAGAGACAGCCTAATTAGTTCTACTGAGAAGAATGTAAAAGCACATACTCAGCACTGCTCATTTTAATTGTTGACTCAAATAGTTTAATTACTAATTAAATACATATTTACTTTTTTCTTTTATTACTTATTCCTTTTACCAGTATCTGACAAAATTGGTAAGTCTATTTTCTTGTAGCATATTTAAAATTTTAAATTTATCTTTCATTAAAAGCATTTTAAGTCTAATATTTAATCACATCTTTATCATGTAGATCACATCCTACATGATAAAGAGGGAATATGCAAATTGAAAATCACTCCCCCCAAAGATGGCTGTGCCCACAGCAGAGGCAGGGTTTCCATAACAAGCCTTAAGGAGCAATCAGCAGGGACCTGAGGCTGCACCCCCGCAACCTCCATGGGGCTTGATGGGGGACCTCAGGCCACGACCCCGCCCTGGTGCCAGACTGGGGGACCTCAGGTCATGACCCCCACCTTGGCACCAGGCCAGGGGACCTGAGGCTGCAGCCCCTGTCCAGCAGGGCTTGACAGGGGACCTCAGGCTGCACCCTCCCCTGAGCTGAGGCCATGCCCCCACACCTGGCAGGGCTTGATGAGGGACCTCAAGATAGTCCTGCTCTGGTTCTGGGCCAGAGAACCTCAGGCTGCTCCTCCCACCCCAGTGCCAGGCTGCACCCCCCACCTGGCAGGGGTTGGCAGTGACTTCAGGCCTCGCCACTCTGCCCCAGTTCCAGGCCAGGGCACCTGAGGCTGCCTGCACCTCCTGCCTGGTGGGGCTTGACAAGGGTGGGACTGGTCGGGTCTGGATCTCGCCCAATGGGGGAGGAGCCAGCCGGATCTGGGTCTCATGCAATTTATAGGTGCACTTGGGTGGGTGGGGACTTGACTGGATCCCGTGGTTTCCCCCAGATTCTGACAGAAGATTTTCATATACATTTTACTTATTTTCTTTTATCTCTGACACTTCTTTTATTAAGAAAAAAAAAAGGGGGGGGGGCAAATAGCAATATTAAAATACTTCCTTTAATTAACCATTTAATGTGCATGCATTTCATGCACCAGGCCACTAGTACTATTATAAATGACAATTTTCAGTTTATTTAGTAAAGGCATAACTTAAGGATACAATTAGGAGCACTAAACCCAATTCTTCCCAAATCAATGTCTCAGTTACATAAGATATAACTCTAAATATGACAACCGCATATAATTCTTACTGAGAGTGTAATCAGAACATTAATTATTTTACTTAAGTATTATGGAGTGGGGAAGTCTAACAGGGTTATGAATATTTTTAAAATATTAATTGCAATTTTACTTGTTTATTCAACTTTTTTTCCAAAAAGCCCAATAAACATAACAATGATTTTCAAAAGGGAAGGGATATAAACATCACCTGGGAAGATTTTTCAAAACACATGTTCTGCTGAGGCAGAAAGAACATGTATTTTGAGAAAAGCAGCTTCGCAGACAACTGCCTAATAATACAACCCCTTGAGAACCACTAGTTAGCCTCCTAAGAGCATGCAAGGGGCAGCACAGCACAGCCACACACACAGGATTATAGTAAATCCATTGTCTGGCATATAACATGTGTTCAATAAACATCTGTTGATCAACCGAAAGACTTGTATGCATGCATATATGCATAACCAATGGACACAGACCATAGGGAGGTCAGAGCCTGTGCTGGAAGGTGGGAGCAGGCTAGGAGAGGTCAATGGAAGAAAAAGGAGACATATGTAAAACTTTCAACAATAAGAATTTTAAAAATAGTAATAAACATTTGTTGAAAGAAAGTTTAAATTTCTTAGTTTAAAATACCAAGCTCTTCCAAAACCTGGTCCCTACCTTACTGCTCTTGCCTTATACAACACAACAGGTCTTTCTCGCAGTTAAGAAAAATTAACCAGACCTAGCTGGTTTGGTTCAGTGGATGGAGCATTGGCCAGAGGACTGAAGGGACCCTGGTTTGATTCTGGTCAAGGGCAAGTACCTTGGTTGCAGGCTCAATCCTGCAACGAATTGATGTGTCTCTCATATCGATATTTCTCTGTCTCTCCCCCTCCTTAGGTGAGGAGAGAGAGAGAGAGAGAGAGAGAGAGAGAGAGAGAGAGAGAGAGAGAGAGAGAGAGAGAGAAGAAAACTTACTCAAAACAGAGAATAAGGTGAATCAAAAACTATAAACCCTTCAAATGTGTAATGAAACATTTTTAATAGGTCCTCCTAAAGATATTTTATTATAGTGCCACTAGAGGCTGAATGATGAAATTCATGCTGCATCTGGAAAGTTGTCTGGAAGGTCATTCAGCCATCCGGTTTATTTAGCATATTATGCTTTTATTACTATAGATTGTCTGATCTGGTTCTATAGATTAGGAACCAAATTCTATTAGGTTAAGATAAATTTGTAGATTTTTATTCAGTAGAGATAATTTCTGTCCAACAGACTCCAAAGGTTTTACTACCCTGTAGGACATGAACCAATTTTGTACCTAATGGAGCAATTTATTTAAATGTTCTTTCTTTAGTGTCAACATACACTCAATTCCTCAAATGCTTTTGGAATCAGCTTTACCATCCTGCTGTTTCCCTAATAGTGAGTTAAATAAATCTATGACATATGGTCATTCTATATTTGTTTGGGAGGAGTAGAGTGGACAAAGAATAATAAAAGAACACAGTGATATTCTGACCAACAGGGCTCTATTTTTGTATTAGTTTTATGTTGATATTTAAAGAGAGAAACAAAAGAGATAGAGAAGCATCTTTGTGAGAGCACAACATCAATGGCTGTCTCCTGCATGCACCCCAACAGGGATCAAGCCACAACCCTGGCATGTGTTCTTGATTGGGAATCGAACCAGCAACCTCCTGGTGCACTGGATGACGCTCAACCAACTGAACCACACATGGGCCAGAGCTCTAACCTACTCTTGAATATGAAGGCTTTGAATGTAAAATCCCTTTCCAGTTAGCCAAAGACGCAATGGGAAAACCTTTCTTTTACATTATTTGCCAGCGCATCCTGAGTTTTTTACTCAGTTGGGTCCAATTTTGTTATGTTTTTGTAAGCTACATGACAGAAAGGCTAAGAAGGATACCTGCCAAACTGCTAACAATTATTTTAGGCAAGTACATGAGAAAACCGTTTTTGGAGGGAGACTGTTGGCTTTTTATTTGTACACTCCTGTGGTACTGGGATTTATGTCAACAAGAAGATAATGTATTTATAGTTTGAAAAAAAGGTCCTAAAATGATATTTTTAAGAAGGAAAATAGCCCTACTTGGTTTGGCTCAATGGATAGTGTCAGCCTATGGACTAAAGAGTCCCAGGTTCTTTTCCAGTCAAGTACACATGCCTGGGTTGCAGGCTCAATCCCAGTAGGGGGTGTGCAGGAGGCAGCCAATGAATGATTCTCTCTCATCATCGATATCTGAATCTCTCTCTCTCCCTCTTCCTTCCTTTTTGAAATCAATAAAAATGTTTTAATAAAATATGAATAAATTAGAAAATAGCTTACATATTCATGGTTTGAGATATAATTTGCAAAATTGAAAAACTACAAATATTACAGTTTTGTTCCTACAGCAAAAAAATTTTTTTTCTCTTAGTGAATAGTAAGGAACTCTATAACTCAATTTGGGGAAAAAAATAACTATTGAAGTTTAATATTATTCTCATGTAATTATAATTGTTATAATAGTAACTATGGGCCCAATATTTTAACTACCTAGAGTTCTTTTTAATAATAAGACTTTTTTTTTATTATTTTAAATGAAGGGAAAGAAATCTATAGCTAAATCACTATTACTTTGATATGTTTCCTACCAAGTGTTTCTCCCCCCACCCATAGTTGTAAATATACACACAGTACATAAAATTTTATAATGTAACTAGTGGCCCACTGCACGGATTCATGCACATTGAAAGGAAATTAATTAGAAGGTGGCTGGCAGGGCAGTACTGGGCGAGACAAGCTAGACATGCCCTGAAGCAACCTACAGCAGTCCCTCCCCAGGCAGCCACACCTGGGGCAGCACCATGGCTCGAAGGTCGTCTGCGGAGTAAGCGGGATCCCGCTGGCAGTTGGGGTACCTCAGCCTGGCCCTCGGGATCAGCCGAAACCGGCTCTCCTACATCCCCAGAGGGATTCTAGAGTGTGAGAGAGCACTCTGCAAAGTTGCTGTCATACAGGATTTGGACCTCAAATGCAAGTGTGCAGTAAATCAGATTCAGGACCAACTGTGCCCCAGCAACAACATAATCCATGGCCAAAGGTGGAATCGTGCAACCCCACGAGGATTTGGGCTCCCTCCTCTCTGGTTCTGGGATGCGTCACCTGAGAACCACCGATGCTAAGTCATAGCAGCTCAGCAGTAAACCAGATTCGGGGCTGACAGTGCCCAAACAACAACATAACCCATGGTCAAAAGTAGAATTGCGGGGCCCAGCAAGGAATTGGACTCCCTCCTCTCTGGTCCCAGGGTGCATCACCTGAAAAGCGCCACTGTCCCCTGGTGGTCAGTGTGCATCATACCTACTGGCCAGTCAGCATATAGACTAATGGCCCGGTGCACGAATTTGTGCACATTGTTAAGAAAATTAATTAGAAGAAATATTTTAATATCGCTATTTGCTCTTTCTCTATAATCGAAGTGTCAAACTCATAATTTACAACGGCAGATCGAAACGTGTGTGAGTGGTGCCAGTGAGAGCTTTATATGTATTGTGTATGCAAGAGTCAACTTAGCCTTTTATAGATATATAATAAACTTACTTAATTAGACCCGCTTTCTGATTTAGTTAACCTTTTCCAGCTCAGTGAAGCACCCCAA